TATGGGTTATTTTTTTACAAATCGTACAAATTTTTGGTAAGAATTTTTAGGAAGAATGACCCATATATGATTGATGGTTCCAGATCCAGGAAGCCTTAATATTTCTCAGTATTGTAAATCGTATGACCCAGCCGTTTCTTGAGAATTAGGAGATAAGTGCAAAATTGTTCATTTTATTAAAATTAAAATTTGTTTCTAAAAATATAAGAAATCGTGCTGATTAGATTTTGATAAAGACCAGTGTGATTCTTCGTAGTTAGGGGAAAATCTAGTCTAGAAGCAAAAATTTTATGTGATGTTTGAAAAGCTGTAAAAAAGGCAAACAAAGATTCTACTATAGTTCGATTTACTTTACTTTATAATTATTGTTTTGAGAATATATAAAAAAAATAAAAATTTTAAATAGTCATAAACATAGATAAGGTCATAAAGTTTTAATTCTAGAAGGTGATAGATCCCTTAGGTCTCAAAAAATTGGAACTTGATCATATCCATAATTTTGGCTCGATAAATAATCCGAAAAAAAAATTAAATATAATATTAATCTAGAATAATTTCGCAATCGTATGAAGTTCGGAGAATTTTTTGAAACTATCTGAAAAAAATATGTATTTTACAACAATTTTTTGATATACTCGATATTTAAAAAAAAAGTAAAAATCGGTATTTGCGGATGAGTTCATACTGAAGAGAAGTCTATAAAGAAAATTCTATAAAAATTCCAAGTAAATCGGTCCAGTAGAAGTTGAAAAATCGTGGGTATCGTTTCGAAAAATACAGTTTCGAGAAAAACGCGTTTAAAATTTTGCTGAGGAAGGAAACAGAGAGGGATTGTCGTGCTCTATCTCCGAAAATAATTTAAATTTTAAAATATACATAATTAAATAATTAGCGAAGAAAAGTCTAAATAGAAAATTCTGTAAAAAATTCAAGTAAATCGGTCCAGTAGAAGTTTAGAAACAGAGGATGATTGTCGTAGTCTAAAGGCTATATTTCCGAAAATAATTTAAAATTTAAAAAATATTCTTGAATAGTACAACTTTGAAAATATCTAAAAAAGTAAACTAGTTTTTTTTAAATTCTAAACCAAAATACCCTTTAAATGTTAACTTTTTTTTTGTTAATTTTAATAAATTGTGGAGTACAGTGGCAGAATTTATGGTATTAAGAAACATCCTGAAATGTTATAGGCCTACATAAAATAAGAATAAAAAAATCATTGAAAATTTTAACAATAAACAGCACGCGCACGGGGCATATATAGCTGTTAATAAAAAGTGAAATAATTATTTTTAAAATAATTAGTCAAAGATAATATTAATACACTCAAGTTGCTAAATTTTGATTATTATTGACTAAGTCTATTATCAAACACATATCGGAAAGTTCATGAAACTTTGACTTGAGACAAAATAATATTTACACCTAGTTATTTAATTATAAAATTCTTATCTAACATACATCAAGTAATAAAATTTATTACAGCTGTACTGTGATTGATGTCTCCACTTGATCTATTATTTCAAAAATGCATTCAAGCCTTTCCACAATATATTTCCAATGTTTTTCTATCATGATTACTATGCATTCGTTCACGATTAACCTTATTTACAAATCCAATTATTTTATTTGCATCGTTCAACAAACCGTGCATGATATTAATTGATTTTTCCCACAATTCCGATGAAATCGTTTCAACAATACATAATAACTTTTTATTAGAATAATCTATCTTTACACAAAAGCTCGTCTGAGTATTAATTTAACAGTTTTTATTATATTGACTTTCCATTATATTCTAGCTGAGAGTTAATTAATAGAGTTGATATGCAAATTGAGGACGTTTTATTGACAAATTCTATGGAAATATTTCTCTGAACCTTTGTATTGTTTCCCATAAATAAAATATTCAAAGTCAATAAGGCATGTTATGAAATGGTCAACTATGTTAAGTTTATTATATTAAATTTAGAAGTTTATTTTATAGCTTTTTGGAATTTTTGTATTTTTTTGATCTTATTCACTTTCACTGGTAAAATGAATCACTAATTTATTTCGTTGACATTAACATAAATTTTTGCATCAAAGATATAAATAGATAAATTATTCAAATTTATTCTGTTAATCAATATAATGAAAAATTTTATATGATATTTAAAATGGATATATATTAAAAATTTGTTTGCACAGACTGTTTATTGATAAATAATATAAAAAATCATTTCCCTAAATCAATTTTATTATAACTCCAAGAGCTCACTTCATACTTTGTAAGACAAAATACTAAATACCAAACCAATTTAAAAAAGGCTTTCAAATTTATAAAACCAACTGAATGCATCATAAAAAAATCAAATTTCTAAATGCAATATTTTAATTAAATATTGTATTATTAAATTTGGTAATAAAAAATTATTGTGTGGATTATATATAAGACTTTTTGCAGAAACTCACAACAAATAAACTGTTTCAGAAAGTTAACAATGAGAAACAGTGTTTCTGATCTATATAAGTTTTTCAGTTGTGGTTTTCGACTACCTTCAAATTATTTTTCTAATTAGAAGTGTTTACTATTTATACTATAATTAGTGGGTGGCAAAGATATTTCTTAGGACATTCTGATATCGTAAACGCCTCTAAAAATATTCGATGTCTTCTAACGTGGGAAGAATAAAGACTGTGTGTGACATTGAACTTTCATATGAGAATAACAACGCATTTCGATTGTTATTAACAAGACTGATAACATCGGAAGGTGAAACATATTTATATATCACTTATTTGAATAGTTTTAATTATAGTCTTCAAAACTTAATGTGCTTGGACAAGAGTGTATATAAATTCTTCTGTCCAAGGTTTAAAAACTCGTTATGCGAGCTGTGTGTCATAGTAAATATTTTAGGGCGACAAAAATTATTTATGACAAATGAAATTAGATAAGTTACGAAGTTCATCATTTGCCAGAGTTTTGCTCAGAAATAATGTTTCTATATAATTTTAAGATATAGACACTTCTATTCAAATTATAAAAAAACTTACACGTGGGTGGGCTAAAAAGAACCAATTAAACCTTTACCAAAGGAGTGAACTATAAAAAATAGTAAATAGAAAGTGAATAAATTTAAAAAAAAAAAATTTTACAAGAAATAATTCTAATTAATAGTTATTCTAATTCTGCTGATGAATACATATTTCTGACAAAATACCAGATCAACGTTATATACAGTATTATCTCTATAAAAAATGTACCCATAAAATTATATTTTGCATTGGTAGCTATTATTTCGTAAAATTCTTTAAAAATCGGAAATAAAACATTGGACTTGTTTGAAGTCTGTCGTCCCATTTTACCTTGCCTATGGGGTAAAAAGGACTAGGTGACAAATTTTCGAACAAAAGCAAAAAATAGATTCTTACAATGATGAATTAACAGGTCAATGATGAGTTTTATTGAATATAGTCAGGTATTTGTGGTTTCAGTTCTCACAAATTAATTGCTCAAAGTCAAATTGTACCTTTGTGTCCCACCTTACACTATTTCTATCTAAACTATAATATTTTTTTTTAAATAAATATCAACTACAAAAGAAGTTAATACTTTTTCCTAACAGTACAATAATTGTACAAAAGCATTGGCAATATTTTAAAATGTTATATCAAATAAAAAATTAGAAGTTTCAAATTTAAATTTATTTAATTTTTGTGACTAGTTATTCTTCTATCAAATTATTTGTTTGTATTTTTGTAATTATTTTATACTCTAATTACTTCAAGAGATAAATCAATAATAAGTTACCTTTGTAAATATTGCGCCATGCGGATTTAAATAGAGCGGCAGGTGGGCTCAACCGAATAAGGAGAAATTTTTTATTCACTTTCTCTAGACTTCATAAATGCGTTACAATGTTTATTACATGATGAATTCAATTGTATAACATTGTTAACCTAATTTCTTACTTCTGCTTTAACTATTTTTTAAGGTTTTGGTGGCGGCACATCTGATTAAAAGTTGAAAGTAATAATATATGATGCTTTGTTACTCGCTTATGATATCAATATTAATAATTAAATAAAATAAATTATAATTAATTTATAAATATATTAATTTAATTATTAATTTCTGAGAACTGAATATATAATATTTTGCTACATTATTATGTGATTGATTGCAATATTTTTTTCTTGTAATCAAATAAGCTTTTAATCCTTCCCTAATTTTCAAAGCCAAATTTGACGAACGTTTTAGGGATGCATGTAAATACCATTGATGTATGCAAGATAATAATAAAATTTCAGGCTTGTTATTACTTTGGTATAGTTATTTTAATTATAGTATATATTAAATGATAAAAACAAATATATTCTCAAGTTATTATTTGAAAAACTTTAGTTAATTAAATTAATTTTGATGATGGCTTCATTTTACGTATCTTACTAAATTGCTCCTGATATCATTCGCGCATATAGGAACACACGTGCATGTATTGAAGCATTTGATAAATATTTTAAAATATTATAATTATCCAAAACTTACTAATGTAATTACCAAAATATACACCTATATGAGTGTTCGTGATGAACAAACTCAATATTATTTGTATGTCCATCTACCGTTCAAGTCTAACTCAGGTAATGGTTTGAAACAAGAATGGTTACTTTCGCTTTTACAAAGCTTTTGAAACTATTTTTGTCGTTGTTTGTTGTACGCTTTTCCTCACAAGGAAATTAAAATTACCTTGTTAGTAAAAATACACAAAATTGTCCTGGGAAAGCATTTGGATAATTCTTAACCGTTTAACTTAAGTATTTGGGTAATCTTTAAATTTAACCCATAGATATTTTTCCTTGAGTATATAATTCATCACTAGATTAATTTCACTCTCCATAAAATATGTCCAGGCGAAATACATATTGGATTTTCAATCACAAAAAATTAAATAATCAATGTGCTATTTTATTAAACGCCTTCTAAATATATATTAACAAAAAAAATTACTTACACTTTCTCCTAGCACCTTTTCTGCTTCTCTGCCTTCGAACTTTACGCGACCAGGAAGGACTTCGATGACATCTGGCTCTCTCCCGAATTCTGTAAAAGTTAAATTACGATTAAAATATGATTAGTTATTCTTATATTTATTACGAAGACATTTATACTAATTTGTGAAAATAATAACACACAGTTAAAAGAATCTTTTACCAGATTTTTTAGATTTAGAATTTGTAGATCTCACTTATATCTAACGATATCGATCTAACACTATATTGTTCTAAATTTGTTTTTAATTTAGAACAATATAGTATTAGATAGTGTTTTATTCTCAAGTGTGATATTATTATCTCTATATTGTTTTCTATTCAAGTTTAAAACAATAATTTCCCTGAAACTGTATCAAGTCTATTTTAAACTAATATAAGGTGCCCCATTTAAAAATTGGATATTATCGATAGCAACTTGCCCATAGGCCACACTGTGCGGAATTCGAAGTTGCGATATATGGGGAAAAAATGAAGAATTTTGAGACCTTTCTAACGATGTATAATACTTTATATGTTTTCTTTACAGAAATATCTAAACTAGATCACTAGGACCACTAGATTGCAATAAGCCTAAATGAAATATTTGCAATACACCAAAACTTAGTGAAAAACTTCAAATATCTCCAATAAATCAACAGATCTTTATTGAAAGATGCCTAATTTCTTCAACTGAAAGCTCTAAATAATGTAAAGTTTGGTGAATGAAAGTGATTAAATCCAAACTTATCAATTTTGATATAGTAAAACTAATCTACATTAAATTGCATATTGTTTTTAGTGATGAAAATTATAATCATGTCATTATACAGTCTGACTTTCAAAATCGGCGTTGTAGTAATTTTATTCTTTCAAAATATTAATTAGCCATTGAGTGTGTATCGTCAATATAATTTAACTCTCTACTTAATTTTTCGACATTTTACCAAAAATGGCTATTTTTGTGAGAAGATGCATATATCTTAATTCCATGAAGATGTCAACACAAACAATATCAATATTTATGTCTTTGCTGGGTTTTTGAACCTTAAAGAAAATTTTTATACACGATATTATAGACCCCTGTGACTTGGAAATCACATTAAGCTAATTCATTAATATCAGAAAGTTAATTAATTAATTTATTTTTCACTTGTATATAAGGTTATGACTGATTTTTGTTCCCTTATTTTTTGGATGTAAAACAAAAATTCGGGCCATGGTGAGTTAAATACGTTCTGAAGTAAAGTGTAAAAATATTTCAAAATATTGCATTATAAAAATAACCTACTAAAATAAAGTTATCTTACATAACAACGGCTGGCCCTTTTCTAGGCCGAATTTGCTCCGATTCTGATGACGGAATGTCTTCCCATCCATCGCTGTCCAGGTCGTTCAATTCGTTGGCGCCATACAGGCTGTTACTTTGTCTATCCGAAGATAACGATGGTGATACCCTATCCACTGACGTCGACCTTTGTTTAGAAATCATGTTCGAATTTCGTAAAGGCAACATATCTTTGGAAGATAACTTTTTGGGGGTTGGAATTGGTGATTCGCCACCAATGGACTCGTAGCACTCTTCTTCCTCTCGACCGCCTCGGACAACATCGTAGACGTTCTCAGTCTCACCATCTAATAATAAATATTGATCATTAGTAATCTGAGGAGTTAATAATAATAATATTTAATTCAAAACTTTATCAGCAGTTCATGAATTTGTTAATGATAAATAATAATATTTTGTTTAATGGATATAGATGCTTTCTATTGCTGAAATTGGAATTACTGCCTATTTAATAATAAATGCAGGTTTCACAACAAAATATTTTTGGCTAAATTATTTAAAAAATATTTACATTACGTGTGACCGAAACAGTTCATTCAACAAGTATATTGAACCAATATAAAACAAGGAACTCGACAAAGTGGCACCGAAAATCCAAGTGTTAATAGAATTTACCGTTTCACTAAAATTTTCTGTCATAAATAAAATGCCAAATATTTGCCTACATAATTTGTAACTGCAAAAAACGTAGAAAGTGGTAAAAGTTAATTCTGGACTAATGGTTAATCATGTTTAAACCATTAAAACTACAATAACACAATTAAAATAATTAAGAAGAGAAAAGAATGTATTAATTTATGAGAAATTACCTTCGCAATCAATAGTGGCTGCCGGTATTGTTTCGTATAGGGAACAAACACGTTCGTCCGAGCTTTCAGATAAATTTGAATGCCTGATGTTTGTTGATAAACCATTCCTGGGTGGCAAAGGTTCATTGCACACTTCGTAATTATGTTCTTCATAATTTAAATGGTCGTACAGTTTCGAGGAACAGTCAGATAAACGCTGATATAAATGCCTTTCTGAATAAACAGATCCATTTTTTATATTCTTTACAATGGTAACATCTTGGCATTCATCATATTCGTTATCTACATTCCTTGATGCTAAATCTCTTCGCAAAACGACGCCTTCATATTTATTTAGAGTCTCTATAGAGTTATCTATAGACAGATTTGATGTATGTACAGATGATTTAGAATTGTTCAAAGAATTCGGTTTAGGCCTAAGATAAATATCATTATAACTATTATTTACACTATCACTATTATTTACACTTTTATTTATATTGTCACACTGTTGTTCATCTATTTCCACTAGATTCATATATACATCATTAGTTTGAGATATAGATCGAAATAGGAACGATTGATTAGGCTTTATCCGAGATTTAATTTCTTGATAGAGCCTATCTTCGTCACTTATATCTTGTTTAATACTGCATTCGTTAGATAAGTTGGTATACAAAGCATCTTCAGAATTTTGGGTATTAGAAGTATTTTCCATGAAAGGTCTGGGAGGTACTCGAGGTGATTGCAGAGATTCTTGACTCTCTATAGGTTTTTCTGGAATTACGCTCAGTAAAAGATTGTTTTGATTTTCCTTATCTTCAATAGATATGCTTGAAGTATTTTTGTCTTTTATGTTGGGAGTTTGTAATTTTTTTTGAATAGGTGGTTGGTTCAAAAATAAACTTTTGCCGTTTTTTAATGCGCTATTTTCCAGAGTTTTTAGATCAGGTTTAGGCAAAGTCATCGGTTTCTTCATGACTTTAGCAGTCGGTTTTAAACGTAGTTTTTCATATAATTTACCATATTTAGAAGATTGTTTTAATTCTCTTATTTCTTCTAATTTATTGTCTTTGACAACCTGTTGTTTTTCATTGAGATTTTTAACTTCCTTCGGTTCAACCTTTTCTGGTACTGTTTTTTCCTGCAGTTTGAAATTCTCCAGTTTCCTAACAGCTTCCCTGACTTTTCCAGGGGTTCTCCTAAAACTCGGCTTCCTCTTGGCATCGGCGGAAGTTTTGCTCGAATCATTCATTTTCGAAGCGTTTCTGAAAGACCGGGCAGTACTAGGTGCACGACATACCTTGACTTCCTCGATCCTGTTCCGGCGTACGCGTACCACTACGCGATCGGGCGGGCAGTCAAACCGGCTGGAGAGTTCGGCCACTCTACCTTTCTTCAATCGCCTTGATATGGAACCGTTGTTATTTGTTTTGGTTCGATTTTGCGAACCTTCTTCTTCTTGGTGACATTTGGACAAATACGGCGGCGCCTTGTCCGCGATGCTACCGCTTTCGGCGACCGCTGAACCACAACTGTCAACATTGGACATTTTGACATCCCCACTTTTGCGTCTGGTTCAAATCACATGGTCCGGTCGCGTGGCTTTAGGCGGTCCATGCATTGGTCACCTGCGAACAAACATTTTGTTATTAAAGTTTTGAGATGTTATTTAATATCGAAACTTATCTCTGCGAATTAAAAAACAATAATTTCTCTACAGAGAGATGAATCATCATTAATATCTGAACAATGCAATAAGAAGCAATATTTATAATTAAAATTTAATTTCTTTTACATTATTATCTTTAAATTTTGCTTTTAACAATAGACACGTATAAATATTGTTTCTGTTTTAAATAAAGATAATTGTTTATAATAATCCAATTAAGTTGAGTGTGTATTTAAATGCAACAATTAATCGCATTATTCTTGTACACATGCCAAAATTTTCATACTTGATGCACAGGTGAAAGTATTAATTTCCTATAGCTATTTCCGATATTGTGATTAAGGAAATAACTATTGAGGTGCATGACATCGTGCCTTAAGGCAAATTGCTGGAACTTCCCGTACGAAAAATATTTTTTTTAAAAAAGATTATCATTTTTGAGAAAAATTTACTCTGAAAAAATTAGATTTTTGAGAAACTATAAATTTTTGACAAAAATTTCCTTTTTTTGAAAAAAAAAAGATTTATTGAAAAAAAAATGTTTTCTTTATTTTGACATATTTTGGAAATTCTGAACTTTTTTTCAAAGCAATCGTACTGCTTTAATTACATAGAGATAAAATGTTAAAGCGCGTAAGCGCCGCGTCGCCGTTTAACGAATAAACATTGGTACGGAACCCATAGGAATGTAAACAAAATGTATACTTATTGTTAAACTCTCTAAAAAAAACGATATCTTGATGTGCATATGTCTAATGATTATTTTTGACCGCCAAATGACATTTTTTTACTTTTTTTACTAGATCTCCGAAACTGCATGAAAATTTGACCAATTCTTCATCTTATCAATACAAGTAAAATATTTTTTGAATTATTAAAATCGGACGCTCCGTTTGCTCTTTTTGCCCAGTATCTTCGGAACGGCTAGACCTGCCTTCGCCAAAAACTAATCAGCACGTCTCCTTATCAATGCGAATCGAATGTTTTTTGAATTATTCAAATCGGTTGATTGGTGTTCCCGAAATCGTCGACGAAAATTTGTATCCGGACACACACACATACATCCATTTTTTCTAAGGTATGCCAAAATATTCAGAAACCTTTAAAACGTAAAGATATATAAAAATTTTCATTTTCGATTTTTTTGCGATTACTATAACTTGCCCTACAGGAAGTTAAAAATTAATTAATGGCCACGATAATATGAGAAAAGTTTTCACACGGGCCATGGTAATATACAAAAAATTTTTACATGGGCCATGGTAACTTAGATTGGATGATGTAGTAAAAAATCGAGAAAACTTCATCAAAACAATTTTTTGCCAAAATTCTTGGTAAAACACGATTTTTTATGTGGTACATATATGACTGACATGTTCCTACATTATAGCCCTATATTAAATATTATATGCTCTTAAGCCAATGAATTTATAAGCTCTTAAGCCAAGGAATAGGTTTTTTTGCTGATAGGTCTAGCTTTCGAATTAAACTGCAAATGTATCGTTTGCGTCGGACATATATATCTGACATGACTCATGTAAAACTTCTTACCGTCAGACAAATATGACTGATACAACGATTAAAGTGTCAATTAATCAACAATGTACTGTAAAATTGAACAGGATATTTTACGATGCATTTTTCTTAACTTTCTTTGCATATCGTCCGATCTTAAAATTTAAATTTCTTTAATAAATCTCCTTATCGATAAATAATTGCACATGCTCTTATGATATGCACTTATTTTCTTTTCTTGTTTAAAATGATTTAACTCTCACTTCGATATTTAAGGGAAAGTGAAGACCGTGAGCATATGACCTGCGGTGTCAATTTTGTGGTTTTATTATAAAACTTTCAAAAATTAATATTAATGAACAATGTGAATATTTTCGATTATATATTGATAAAAGAAAATTATGGTAATATCGGAATCTCGCAATAAATGTTTATCGCTATTATTCAATAATTTCTAAATTACATGTTTGCTCCAAAATATAGAATTTATACTGAGTCGATGAATTATTAATCGGATGGAAATAATCCAAATTAACAAAAAAAAATTTTGAATTTTTATAATTTTTGAGTTTCATATTTTGTAATTTGCTCATTAAATTCTCAATTAAAAGAAGCTGAATATTATTTATTATTCAATATAAAATGCAGTTATTTTCATATATTTTTTTTAATGTTGTTTTTTTTTTAATTTTTGGAAAACCTTTGCCATAAGATTTAATTTCACAATTTTCTATGAAAGGTCATAAATGAGGATTAAATTTGTTTTTTTTTTAAATCAGTTATGTGAAACTCTCTTATCTACTACGTAAGTTTCAAATTTAGGTTTCATGTGGTTTTTAATTTTCAGGTTTCCTATTATTGAAAGCCATAATTTAGTTAAAGCTTTATTTTTCTTCTCTGATCTATAATTTAAACATAGAATATTAATGACCAAGCATCGGATATGAATAATTATAATTTAATAATGCTTGTCGACAGAAAATATATGAAATTAACGCGTTAGTCACGAAACGACTGAGAATTTTTGGAAAGTACATTTCGCCTGAGGTAAAAAATGCATCGGCATTCGACTTTGTTCACAATCAGGGATTTTTCTTATATATTCAATATCATAATTATGATGTCAAAGTTTTTTGGGTTTAGTTTGAAGGTCAGTTATAGTAATTTACTTTATCATCAAAATAAATTTGATGTTTGGATTATAAAGAATGATGCACAAGTTTAGCAGTTTTTGCAATAAAAATAATGAGATAGAAATAAAGAGTTTATATATTTAGCTTTTGGAAATGAATGAGTAAGTTCATTTATTGCTGATAAAATAGAAGATATAATCGTATCAGAGTTATATGTATATATATATATATATATATATATATATATATATATAAATATATATATATACATATATATAATAAATTATATAGCATTGCAAAGATATAACGTTCTATAAACCAAGGACTTATCAAAGGCACGTTGCATACAAAATTATAGAACAAAGATTATTTTAATTGCTTAAAGCACAATATTTAATTAATTCTACCAGAATAAAATATAAATTTCCTTTTAATTACAAGAATTAAACCCGCCCTCACCAAACATCACTTTTAGTTACGTAACATTTTCCGAACAAATTTTTCGAATTTGAGAAAAAAAACGTAAAATTTAAATTTTTTAGAAAATTTAGGTAAAAAATAAATACACGTGATATCTTACTAAAACCTTCCCTCCCCCATGTGATTTTTCGTGATTTTTTGCTAACCCCCACGACCCCTAAGTTTAAATAAAATAAAATAATTTTATTTAAATAAAATATTAATAAGTTAAATAAACAGCGTTTTAAGAGAAATTAATTTGTATTTTCAAGTAGTTCAAAAATTATTTGTCTGATTTTTATCTCCAACATGGATTTTAGTAACATTGTATTTTTTTATAAATCCACTAAAATTGATGACCTAGTGAGGTCCAAACGTATGTCACTAGAAATTATTCAATGTTCACTCGTTTATGTGATTAAATAATGTAATATTAGTATTTTATTATCTAAAGGAAATAATAATCGTCGTATTATTCCGCCTCGAATACAGCAACAATTCTTAACGGAATGATTTGAAAGTTATTTTGCCAAAAGCGGGTGTGTCGCGCAAAATAATTGCGAGCTTTCAATGAACTTCGTGAGTTCAAGGCAAACAATGAAAATATTGTAGAGATTATCTTTGTATATATTGTAGATTGTGGCACACATTACATATTTGCCTATTTCTTAATAGACAGAGAGCCGATTGCTATTTTATATAATTTTTCTCAAACTATTCGAAAGCACATGTACCTAGACGAACTATATCAAAAAGCTATTAGCAGTCTTAATTTTTGTTGATCAACGAATTCGGACTTACTTTTGATATTAATATATAATTTCAATATAATATTTTTGATTTAGAATTTTGAAAAAGCATCCAAAAATGATATGGCTGATTTACTCAAACAAATGAAGTTTTAGTTATATCTGAATTATTTAATAAATTTACTATAATTATACATTCTGATTTTTTTTAATTGAACTTTTCGAGTAATAGTTGATTACCAAATAAATTTGCTCATGAATACAAAAAACTTTTCAGTGTCAAGTAATCTCAGTCGATTACCATAAAAACTATTGCATTATGATCATATGGTTAAAAACTTCTTATGCAACACAACCGGTTAAAATATTTAAATAATTTGCATTAATTTGATTTCTATTCAAGAAATCTTAACCGTGAATATTTAATGTTTGTTTTACAATCGGTGAGTTATTGGGAAAATATTTTATAATATTATTCATCATTTCTAAAAAGTTTAATTTCAGTTTCTATATATCTATATTCTATACATATTGAAAAAATAGTTGAAAGTAATTTTTAAACATGTACAATAATAATGATTTTTTCATATGTTATATATAGAAATAAAATAATTTATATAATAAAATCTAAATAATACAATTTTATAAACTATTAAGTTAACATTAGAAGAAAGCTTATATTAATTTAGAAAAATGTATAAATAATAAAATTGAGATAAAAGAAACATGGAGTATAAAATGATTCTAAACGCGTATAATATATAATATAAATAGTAAACTACACTTACAATTAGATTATAATTTTAATAATTTAGTTCTTGTTCATGATCTTCAAGATTTAAATAGGGCAGCTACGGGCTTATTGTAAAAGGCGCAAGTAGTAATAGACATTTTCTAATGGGATCTTATTTTTTTTTATTATTATACATTTTTTTCATTGACATGATATTTTCACACACACGCACACACACACACACACATATAGATATATATATATATATATATATATACATGTGTGTGTGGCAGGAATGCCTGGTATATGTGTGGCAGGAATGCCTTGGCCCAGGGGACGACTATTAATCACCTGATTTTAAGGGAGAGGGGGGGGGGTAGCAAAAAATCACAAAATATCACGTGGAAGAGAAAGGGGTATAGTTAGATATTATGTGTTTTTATTTTAATATGAATTTTTGAAAAAATTCAAACATTTTCAAAAAAAATCAAAATTTTTAAAATTTTCCAAAAATACACGTGATATTTTTGAGGGAGGGGGGTAATTTTGAATAACACCACGTATCACCATGGAAAGGGAGATCCAAAAATTCTTAAAAAAAATCGATCACGTGATTAATGGCCCCTTATTAAATGAAAAAGCAAATATTATATATAAAATCTCAGTGTTTTATATTAAAATCGATCACGTGATTAATGGCCCCCTTATTAAATGAAAAAGCAAATATTATATATAAAATCTCAGTGTTTTATATTAAGATATCGTTATGGTATACTTTATGATCTTTCATCACTTTCTTGAATAACACATGAATTTATTTATAGAATACATAAATCGTTGCCCGCAGAGCAATGACTCGTCATTGTTTTACAAGCCAATTAACGCATTTTCTTTGTTTTCACGCATTTTCTTTGTTTCGTTCGGGCATCAAAATTACGCAGCAAAAAATAACTGATAATACTATTTGTGAGACATTATACTGATTTTATATTCATATCATAACATTATGAAAACTTTCTATTATTCAGGTGAAAACTTGTGTCGCAGTAATTTATTGATAGAATTTATTGGTATATCTATCAAAATAAATAATTTGTTTTGACAACAGATATGCATCGAAATAATATTCATAAATATTCAACTATGGTTCTTTTTTTTAAAAAAAACATTGATGTTTTTAATTTTGAGCATATTTTTTGAACAGCACTTAAATCTTCTTGGACTGCAGGACAATCTAAAGCAGCAGTCAGTGAACTTTTTAATCATTAACTCAAAATATTTTTGATTAAGTTGATATTAAAACGAACAACTACATAGCAAATACAGTTAATATCAATTAAGAAATATGTATTTTACCTCCAAAAATGTCACATTTACTCCATTTAGGGTAAAGCATGGAACTAGTTTCTTCAACAATTATTATTAGTAAACTTTGGAAATACGCATTAACATTATTATTAAATATTCAATACTTATCTTACCTTTAAAAACGTGACTTCTGACCAGTTATAAATTTAAACAAAAAATCCTATTACATGTTTGTTTATTTAGTACAACATTGTTTATAACGCATAAAATTAGCAACGTGAGCATTTTTGTAATCAGTACGTTTTTTATACATAAAAATGCAGAAGGGCGATATTAAATTGCAATGGAAATAAATCTTTTAGAACGTCTCTAATATTGCACTATATTAAATTGCGTAATTTTGTAATTAAACAATTACCTAATTGTTAATAATTATACGCATTATTATTTGCATCGAACATTTATTATAATAATTTCGATGATTGTTTAGAAAGTATTGTATCAGAACTTATTTGTATCAGTACATAGTTTTTTTGAATAAGCAATTATTAGTAACAATTGTAAATTTTTTATTGATTTTGTTTCTAATTCTAATCAGTTACAATATGTTACAAATTAAAATTTCATATTATGTAATCAAAGTAGGATCTAAATATATTTATGATTTTATTTTTCTGAACCTCAAGCCTTTTTTACAAATAGATAATTCATTTAATTTTGGTTTAGTGAAATTTTCTGTGTTTTGGAGTTTAAGAAAGTCCTTATTTCAGTAACTTTGAACTATTGAACCCAATTATTTTTTAAATAAACTCTCACTAAAAATCGAATTTTATATTTGCAGAGACACCACACCACTTCATTTGTAATAACACATGAAATTCAGATTAGTCAAAATCTATAATATATTTTTGTATCAACTCTTTTTATCCCAATAAATCACCTGAAACCCTTACTACCTGAAATGAAGTATCTGTTTTTATATTATGGAAATACCACTGTTCTTATATATTCACTAAAAATTACCTCTCTATTACCTATAGATGTTTACTATTGTATATGTAATAATATTTTAGAGGTAAAAAATATATAAGTATAAACAAAAACGTTTTCTATACAGACATCCAGTTATTGAAAAAAAAATGACTATGTTTGAAAAAATCAATGTCTTCCATATGTTTTCAGTACTAGTTCCACTCTTGGCCCAAAATTATTAAAAAAAACATAAAAATCACAAAAATCAAACATGATTTGTATAATTTACATATTTAAATATTTAAATAGAAGAATTGTATTAAAATTTAATATAAAAAGCAACTTTTTGAGTTGTGTGAAACTCTATATTAAAATCATATATATGTTGAAATATATTTTATATATATTAGAAATTTATGTGTTATTGAAATATTGTACCTTAATCAGAAAATAACTCACTGGAGTGATCATTTTATACTCCATGTTTCTTTTATCTAAATTTTATTACACCTATCCCAGTATTCTTTGCAAATCTAATTTTTTTATTGCTAAACGTGTTTATGTACTTTCCGAGCTAACAAGAGAAGCCGTGCCTTACATTGTTTTATGTTAAAATTAATTTGTTGGCATTTCATAACGATTTTTGTGGCCTCAATTCTTCAGTGTCAATTGAAATCATTGTTTCTACTATGTGTTTTCTGATTTCTTAGAAAATTGAGCACTTATTTCAATATCAAAGGTCAAAAGTAATGATAATCTGGTTTGTATTGCTTGAGAAATAATTTGAATTGATTGAAATGAATGCCCAGTTAAATTTTAATGGCTAGGGAATA